GTGGTAGTTTCGTCAACGTATGTAGAAGTACCTACGCTGGTGGTAAAACTAGTGCTAGTGGTCTCAACTTCGGCAGCGGTAGCTTCATCACATGGAACTGTGGTGGTGTATGTGTAATATTCAGTGGTGGTTCCATCAACATAAGTAGATGTACCAGTAACAGTAGAAACAGATTCAGAAGAAGTCTTGGATTTTGTACATTCATCGCAAGTGGTCAAAGTTTCGGTAGTTTTAGAAGTGTCAGTGACGACCGCGTTGGTTGCAACACTTGAATTATCGCAAATGACTGTGGTTATGGTAGTTGAAATACCGTTAACATCCGTAGTGACATAAGTAGCAGTAGAACTCTCAACAATTGTTGTTGTGGAAGGATCAACAGAATCGCTAAATGGTATGGAAGAAGTAATAGAAACTGAAGAGGAAGGAGAAGTAACGGAAGAACTGATAGCAATTGAAGATGAAGGCAATATATCGGAACTAGAAACAACAGCAGAAGTAGGAGTAGCTTCCACTGAAGGACTCTGGGAAGAACTGGAAACAGAATCAACAGTACTGACGGTTACAACTTCACTAGAAGACGCTGGAGCGGAGGATGAGGTGACAGGCTTGGCACTGGAATAAGCAGATGTACCAACGGAGGAAGGAACTACAGAGGTTGAGCTTGATGATGTAGGTAGTTCAGAGGAAGAAGAAGAAACGCTAGTAGATGAATTTTCTAATCTTTCACGTTGAGTGGTACTTGATTCAGCAACTGTTTCAACACTGGAAGAGGAGGTAGCTTCGACACTAGAAGCAGGAATTGAACTATAAGTGGAGGAAACAATTGAGCTAGTAGCTTCACTTGTGGCGGTCGAAGAAACGATCGAGCTAGTAACTTCACTGGTGGCGGTCGAAGATGATAAATAAGACATTAGTACGGAAGATAAAACAGATGATTCCAAACTAGAAGTCGCAACAGAGGAAGTGGTTGGAACGGTAGATGTAGCCTCTGTGGTAGTAGAAGAGGTTGTAGCAACCACAATTGGGGTAGTGGTTGAGGTAGTTGAGGTAGTTGCGACAACTGAGGAAGTAGTTGTAGTCTTAGAAGAAGAGGAACCCATTTTTTATTATTTTAGTTTTTCTTAAAGCAAATGTTTTTTATATGTTTTATTAAAACCTTACTTTTGATCAATTCTAAATAGACTCGATTACTAAACAAGAAATAATATCAATTCTAAGATATAGAATGAATTTTACATTCTTATTTTCTTTATAGAAAGTCCCAATCTTTTCATCTTTATATATTAATGCAATCGTCACTTTTAGTATTACAATTTTTTGCAAAGAGAAAATATTTAAAAATCATAATGAAAAACTCTATCTTTCATCTACTATGCATGCCTGATAATTCCTCTATAGATTAAATTTTAGCGAGTATGAACACTTTATCTAATTCATAAAAAACGCATAACTGCACGGCACAGCTATACTAATCAATTATTTTTTTTCTCCCTCTTTTTGTTTCATCATTATTAATAACTTGAACGACCAATAATGCTTGTTTATTTATGTTCTGAAATCATATGTTATGTCATGGACGTATATTATGGTGGCTTAAATGCCACTGCGATCAAACGTCTTGCAAGGTTACATGAACTGGAGTCGCCAGACTCCCTTGCTCGCACATCATAACCCTCATCGCTTAACAAATCTCAGAACTGAAAATTGTAACCTGAACTTTTTTCTTCGTTGGAAGGATCTCATTTTCCTTCACACAGAGAATCATGTACAACATGAAGCTCATCGCGAAAAGTGAAAAATTCTTAAGATCGTTTATGCGCCACAGAAGATTGGTACCTGAGAGGTGTCAAACGACCACCATTCAGACAACTTCGTGGGAATATATCTAGCGTGAGTTTTGATTTTGTCGTTCAGGGAAACTAAAAATTAATTACTACAGATGTTCTACATGGTACTAAGAAATGGCACTGCAGGAATGACTTGAAGTCTTCGGAAGGGAACTGATTGCTGTGCAGTATGTCTTCCTTTTGTAACTTTTGGTAGATAGGGGAAGAAATCCAGAACAATTCGTTACCTCTAAAATCAAATATTTTAGTAAATAGTGACCTTTTTACACTATACATTGTTGCAGTAAGAAGATCATAAGAAAAATTATAGAGATTTGTTAAACGACAAATTATTTATTACACAAAGTTACTTTGAAAATATATTATCTTGGCAAAATTTCCTTTGTGGGTGCTTTTTATTTTTAAAACAACAAACAATAACTGTCGTCACTGAAAGCTTTTATTCTTATTACCATGCAAGTTTCTTCTTATGGCAAGCGTTGTTTATAACACGCACGAAATATATCAACAACAACAAAGGGAAAGGCAACAATTAACGAAAAAAAGGACATTTGCATATGTTTTTTGGCGTTTATCTAGTTCATCGTATAGAGTGTTTTCTCAATTAGGAATATTCTCTTGTAAATTTACTTGAATCGGAAAATAATGTTTTTCAATGTCATCTTAAACCACTATTCACTGAATCAGATTCTAACTCATTATTTTGTTAAGATGAGATTATGATAAATTATTATTCTTTTTGATGTTTATAAATAATATGTACCACACAATCCCACCCTAAGCGGAACTGAAATACTTGAATTGAACTTAATATTAAAAACTAGAATTCCAGTAAATTCCTTTCAATCTTACAAAAGAGGAATATATATAAATATATATACAAAAATTATTTTTATTTTTTTTGCTGCTGACCATAATTTGGTTTTCTGGTTAGAAATATATTGAATTAGTATTTATCTTTAAACTCTGCGTAGAAGCGAACCAAAAAACAATAACTAAAAAGAATTGAAATATTACAGATGTATCATATTAAATTCAAGTTTTTTTTACCACCTGCTTAATCAATATTTAGATTCTGTAATTTTCCTCCAACTCCGTAAAGAGTTTGATATTTCTCTTCTAAGGCTTCTTCTAAACGGACCTTAATGGATTTCGCAGATTTTGTATAGTCACTGGCCTCATTAATGATAAACACACTGAATCTCACATATATCTTGTTGTTGTGAACCAAAAAAGGTGCGAATGATTTATCTTTTGCAACCATTATACCTTCGCAATCTGCCTTGAATTTCCTCCATTCATGGAAATTGTCGATCAAGTATTTCACTACCGGAACATATTTTTCTTCAACAGGGAAGGAAATATTAAACATACCTGGAACATTTAACGTTCCTCTTGTATTTTCTAATAGTTCGGCTCCGGGACCAAATTGTTCGATAACTAATTTGATGGCCTCCTTTCTTAGTTGAACTTGATAGTTTCTAATTACCTTTTCGCCACCACAAATTTCTTTGCGGAACTTGATGGCTTCCTCGACACATAACATTGGGGCATAAGAAACAGTACCGAGGTACCAGAACTTATCAATCATTACAGTGTCTGCAACTTCATCTGATCCTTCCTTAATGTCATTAGGTATATAGGACCATGAAATAGGGTTAGTTTGAATAGTACTATGATGTTTTGGATTAACGTACAACATGGCACATGATTTTGGAACACTCATCCACTTATGCAGGTTGGTGGTTAAGAAATCTGGTTGCAATTCATCAATAAATTTAAGGTCTACCATTCCAATCGCATGTGCACCATCTATTAAACTCAAGACATTGTATTTTTTACATAAAGTTATCAATTTTTCATATGGTAACATGACCCCTGGCATAGAAGATATCATATCAAACATACAAAGCTTATGCTTACCTGTAGCCAATTTTTCTTCGAAATTTTTCAACACATCATCATCTTCCATAGGATAGACATTATTAGTGGTATCAAATTTAAGACCATAGTAATCATGAAGAAATTTAACTGTATTAGAACAGGCACCGTAAGAAGTTGTGTGTACCAAAACACTATCCTTTTCAAAATCCCATGGTACAGACCGTAATACTGTATTTATACCCATAGTTGCATTTGGAACCAATGCAAGATTTTTCGAATCTAATCCAATGTAATCAGATAATGCCTTAATTTGAGCAACGTATCTCTCCTTTGCTTTAATGAGATAAAAGGCATCAGGATAATTTTCTTCCAGCTCACATACTTTTTTCAATTCTTCCATGACCATCGTTGAGGTAGTACCATAAGAACCATGGTTGACAAGAGTGACATCTTTGTCTAATAGCGAATAGTATTTTTCTTTGAAATCGTGTCCAAATTGAACCATTATGGTGCCGTTTCTTTTAAATCTGACCTCGATATTGTTAGCTCTCTTGAGAGTATTGATAATGAGCACAAAATAATTAAAAAATTTAATTTAGGTCACCATCTATATAATTGAATTTTATAAATAATTGTCTATATAACCTCTTAGTCATAATGGGAAGATATGATATTCAATTAGCTATATTTTGTCTGACTCATTCATTAGATCTTAGAGAGATTTAATTTCAAAATATAGTTTTTTGGCCGATTTACGAATTTCGCACAATAGATAGGAAGAAGCTTCGAAAAATGGGCGTCTCTCTGAATATTACTTAATTAGTGCAGGAAACAGGGAACGTATTTTGACACGTACTAAATACCAGGAGTCACCTCTCAAATTATGACATAACATATATACTGAGCTGAATATTCTAAGGGTATATAGTATAAGATATTCGCGTGAGCATAATGGTCAATGATTAGGAACACTAATATTAACATTAATTAAATAACACATAGAATATTGTGCGCAATCGTTATAATTGAATAGGCTTATACGACGATACTCGAATAAGAAGTTCATGACTGTGAAGGTTAACAACTACGCCACTAAATTCGTAATATATAAAAACAGAGGTTTGAAATACATAATCTGTATATTAAACAATTCTTTCCGAAATAGATTAAGAAGAATTATCTGTATAATATCTGTATAATAAAAATCAATGAAAATAAAAATATAGTCAATCCTCAACAAGATAGAAACCAGGAATTCTATCAATATATTTACATGGGTCGTGATTTAATATCTTATATGTGAACCGTTACTTTTATAGCATTTGAAATTTGAAAAAAATAAAATGAATTAATTGTATTGTTAGCTCTTGCACTATAAACTTAAAAAAAAAAAAATATTTAATTTAAAAAAAAATCAGTTAGTTGGAATCACTTCACACACAAATACATCTTAGTTTAAACTGGTAGAATCAATCTTCTGAATGTACCTTCTTTCTTACAACTCTCTTGGTGGATAGCCATTAATCTTTGAGCCTCTAAAGGATCAGAAACTTCTTCCGGTTCGGCCCAGGAGAGAAACTCATTGGTATAATTGGCCACATAATCCGGTGGAAGAATTGACAATCTTTTACCGTAAGCTGTAACCTTTTTCCAATCACGATGGACATTGAATAATGATTCAGAGAAATACGCATAACATCTTTGGAATTGCTTATAGGACAACTCGTTATCCAATTGAGGTTTGAAATTGACATATTCCTTCCACGCAGTGACAGGATCACTCAAAACGTAATCAGTGGCCTTCTTAATAGCAATTAAAAATTTCTTCACCTTTTCAGGATTTTCCTTTAAAAACTGATCGTTACATATATAAAGGATAGTACAGAAACAACAACAACCAAGACATGCTAACTTATCAATTCTTAACATCCTCACATCACTGATTGGAAGTCCCTTCTGTTTCAGGTGTTCTTCTAATTCTACTTGTTGCATACATTCAATACCAACACCAGCATCAATTTTTCCTTCAACAATATACTTCGCAATATTCATACCACATCTGACAGCTGTGTAGTCACCAGGCTTCATACCATAATGCTTAGTTAACTCATCAATTTGAATCTTACCGAATTCACCGACATAGCCAATCTTCTTACCTTTTAAAGATTGAAAGTCTTCAGTAATTCCACTATTCTTTAGATAAAGAATACCAGTGAACGGTTCATCCAAGAGAGATGCTACAGAGGTCACTGGATAACCACGGGCCTTGGCAGCTAAGGTGTGAATCATAGCTTTCAAACCCATATCAACTTTATTGGAGCCAATCAATTCGGTGACATCAGAAGGATTGGATGGTTCAAGAATAGCCATATCCAAACCTTGTTCCTTGAAGAAGCCTTTTGTTTGACTTAAAAAAATAGCAATATGATATGGGGCTGGTTGCCAGTTTAACAGGAAAGTAATCTTATCAGTAGTCATATTATTAATATCTCAATTGCTGGAGCTTTTGAATATTTTTAGTTTCCGAAATTACAAAAGAGAAACAACTAAATTTACAAATAAAAAAACACATGATATAATTATCCCTTTTATAAATTTCAAATTGCAAATTGAAAGTATAATAAAGTCATTATTTAACATGTCGAGACATATTTGGTTACTCCTTTTAAATGAATAATCGAAAGCTCCGATAGTAATAATAATACATTTATCGTTGTCATTCCACAAATGGCCTCACGCGGGTACAATTTAAAACTATCATAAAGTTAGGTAGCTTCTCAAGTTTGTATCGAAACCTGTTTACAGTGCAATACGCTCTGGTGCATTTCTAGTTCCTATTTTAATACACATGCGTCAAGGGAACTTCTTTCTTCTAATCGCATAGAACCATGCGCTCTTACTTGCATACCAGAAAAGACCACTTATGAAATATAAGGAATATTTCTCTTCATTACAAAAGTTATGAATATTCTTTAATTTACAAACCCAATGTTCCTAATTAAGAAAACCATCAATTATTCTGGTTTGAATTGTTTTGTTTTACCTGATATTATATTTGTATTTCTATCACTCCTAATGGATGAAGAATCAATTAATCTGGAAATATCGGAATAATAAATGCCATAAAACATCTAGGAAATAGTTAACAACTGAAAATAGACAAATTTTGAATCCGTTAACGGGATATATATTTATTCATGTATCATATTCAAGCTAATACATGACTTGTTGAACGTTATTGCACAAGTCTTCGCGAATACTTACTATGCTGGTATGATCTTGAAGAAATAAATATAAATCAAAAACTGTAGGTGTAGAAAAATAAGAACATAGTATATTTGTTTCAAAGTTTCATATTCTAGATATTGTATATGAATTATGTATTAAAGATTGCATGACTTGCAGCAACTCATCCGTCATTGAGAATCCATCAATAGTCTATAAAATAAAACCAAAACAGAAACAGAAGAGAGAGTCCATTGAGAAAATAAATTACACTTCTACATTTTCAATGGATGCACGTATCACATTTTGTGCCCTCATTGCTAAATCTTTTAAGATGTCAGACGTGATTTCATCTACATTTCTAGCTGACGAACTAGCACCAGAATTGGTTATGGTATTTGAAGAACGGAATAATTGTTGAATGGCAATTTTGAAAGAGGAGGGTTTTAAAGATGAAATAAGGTAATTATAAACGTCTAAACAATCCTTACCATCATATAAAGTATAATAATTTGGCGAAATTTCTTCATCTTTTAAGAATTTATTCATCCTAGCTGCAATTATATGCCATCTTTTGATTCTATAATCTGGGGCCTCATTAATTACTTCTGTTAAAAACGCCCTTTTGGCATTGAAATCTAATTTATGTAATCTTTCATGGACTCCAAAAGTATTTGAGAAAGTAAGAGAAATAATAGCCACCATAAAACTTGAGAGCAATACTGTTGGTAATATTACTGATGCCCTGGGTGATACAATAAAACACGTTACAAAAAACACAATAAAACATACAGATATCAATTTATTTATGCCGGAATCCCAATAATGATACCAAAAGAATCTGAATTTCGAATTAAATACTCTAGAAGGTAGATAAACAGACATAAATTCTTCATCATTTGTCGGGATTAGCCTATTCTTATTATCTTGAAGAGGCACATTATCAACAGGTGGTGTATATAGTGGCAGTTCCGACATTATCAGTTAAGTTTATCAGCTAGACTATCTTTATTTATATCTAATTACGAATCTTGAATAGTAGAAGGCTTTCATTCTTTCAATTAAACCTGTCATCACTGGTCCCACTCTCTATATATATCCTTATGTAAGGGATATGGGTTGACCCTGAAGAGAAATCACTCATCGTCATGTTGGGCTTAGCAAAACGAAAGACCGCAGCGGCCAATGCCGAGGCAAGCTCGGAACGATACAAATAAACAAAAGCCATAATTCATGGTTATTTACTGACTAAAAACAAAGATGGGAGGACATGAGCCTCATTAAAATGGTTAAATTACAAGTAACAAGTCTTGAATAAACCGCAATCAAGCTAAAAAAAGAAAGACTTATTAACTAGTCTAGCTTTCTAAATTTTAGTTCAATGCTTTAACTATTCGGTTATTTACATTTCTTCAGGTGATCAAAAGGATATATTCGTTTCGATCCTTCAATATAATGAAATTGAAATAAGAGAACACAAAACCATGTATGGCTGGGTTAGTAGAACATTTCACTAGTATATTAATAAATAACAATGCTTTTATTTTAACACTTCAGATGACAGTTCCTTATTTGCTACATGAGAAACCTTACAATCATGTTTATTGAGAGGTTATTTATGAGGCAGACATAGTACTACATCTGGATCAAACGACTTTTTTTTCGCCGTTATGAACAATAATTAATTCTTCTGTTAAAAAAAAAAAATGGACATGCTATGATCAAACGTCCAGAATTCTGATGATGTTCAGAAGACTCATGAGAAAAAGAAAGTTCATCCTTGCTCCTTCCACCCAAAATAGCTATTTCCTTTCCATCCTGATTATGCTGTTTCATTAAAGGTTTTCAATCATTTGATGATGATCATCTCATTAATAACCCTGAACAATTTAAAATCCTTGGTAGCCGTAACCTCCAATAGAAGAAACCTTTTTTATTTTTAATTTACATTTAAGGGATATAAATTTCAAGAAATCTGAGGTTCCTTAACCAATATGTCAATTGGCTTGGTTACTGCACGCATTCTCTCTCTTTTTTCTTTTTCATTTATACTAATATTCTAATTCTGTTCTTGTAAGAGAGTTATCAAACTTTGTTTACTGAAAGAGGAAATTTTGAGGGGAAAACAACCAGAAGAAAAAAAAGCAAGCCAACAAACTCAAACTACTTTAATCTGATAATTTTATTCTTTATTCTTTTAACCATACATTGCTACTATATATTTACAGCAGTTCTCCCACTCCTAATATTCGTATTTCCCTTTTCGGTATTAAAAAAATCCACATGTTGTCCACAATATTTAAACTTAGCTAATATCAAATGCATAGTACTCTTATTATACAAACTACATTATGCACAACACCAAATACGTGAACAAGTTGTTGTTGTTGTTGTTGTAACATCTTTACGAGGTATTTTGGGTATTCCCGCACTAAAAAGTGAGAGAAATTAACAAATAAACTCAGTTACAATCTATATATAGATACTAAAGCCAAAAATAACAAGAGCAAATGCCGTTCTTATGTCTCTTGCTCCTTGAACCAGTTGTTGAATATTACTTTTTTCTTTTTTTCGTTTTATTTCTTATTTTCCCTTCGGTATAATTAGTGTTCAACTAAAACTTGGAAGGAACAGAAATGTGTATATGTCCTGGATTTATATCACCGTCAAGATATTTGTAAATCCCAAATGACTAGAGAAATTGGTGAGAAATGTATCAAGTGCCAAATTTTTCTTTTGCAGGAGACGTTACCGAACAAGACATTTCAATAGAATAATCTTATTTATTATAGCTTAAACCAAAGCAGGGAAGTAAGTTAGTTACCTGTCTGCGACAATATGTCAGAGCGCCGAAATTAAGCACTGAGAAGTTATAATGGTATACCCATTTAGGAAATGTTCCTAATACAGCCCGCAAGGGAAGAAAGACGAGAGAGAAGAGGGAAGAATTTGTTAAGCGAACACTCCTTGTGGGGGAGAGAGAAAGAAAAGAGAAAAATGAAAGGTTCTGGTCCTTTGACCTTCCATTGAGTAAAACAAACGTTATAAATTATAAGGCCACGGCGTATTACAGATTGTTTTTACTCCAAAGGAAAACTATATACAGGTAACAAAAAGGTGACCTCGAGAGAGCCAGTGCAACGGCAGAGTCTCTCGCACTCTTATTTGGTATGCAAAAAGAGACGGTTAATTCTCTCAATTTTTGGAAAAGAATGTTCCTTTTCGTTTTACTGAGGGAACCAAAGAAGTACTCCTGCAGTCTTTCAGTATAAACGGGGGGAAGGATAGGCTTATCCACAATGTTTGGCATTGTCTGTTTTAGGAAACTGAGCGTGTCCCTGTGGGCATTCCCTGTGCGAAAAATTTATTATGCGTAATTACTTTTTTTCATGTGTGTACCGGCAGCAATAGCAGCAGCAGCAGCAATAGCAGTAACAGCCACAGCGGAAGCAGCGGTAGCAGTAGCAGCAGCAGCAGAAGTAGCAGCAACACAATAGGAGTAGCAGTAGTAGCAACGAAATCAGCCAAACTATGAAACGAAGACTAGAACAGAACAGACAGATTTAAAACAAATGAGAAGTGTATCCTCTCTGAGATTCTGACAAATTGATAATGACAATGGGCTTACTACGTTGCAAGGAAAGAAAAGAAAAAAATAAAAAAAGAAAGAAAGGAAGCACAATATTTTGATATGCTCCTTCCCCATTGCTCTACATAGTTGACGTCTCTTTGTACTTATTAAAACCGACAACGGAGAGAAAACTGACGGCACAGCTTTGTAACCTACAGCAATACAATGACTGATTACATGGGAATCTTATGTTACTTCGTGCTTTTGTTGTATATCTTTTGTTTCGTTAGGGAAAAAGATATGTTCAAGGTTATTTAGAACTTCAGATTAAATAATACAGGTGACTTGAGGCAAAAGAACAGTTCCAGATTTCATCCTTGTTTTTCTTTTCTTTTTTTGTTTTGCATCTTTTAAGGTTTTTGATCCTCTAATTTGCAAAAGAATTTGATATGAAATTTGTCTTTCATTTTATGATTTTCTTCATTTTCTTAAGCTTTTTGTTTCGTTATTAGTATTCCTTACATTAATCAATATTGAAAAATTGATAAATTTGTTCATCCTTAATTTTGAATGGCATAACAACTGAACTCATACTATATGTTATGTACTGATATATCTTCGAAATAATTTACCCAAAAAAACGATTTAACTGCATGCGATCTCTTCGAGCTATCTCATCGTCATGAACCGCAGCAATTGTCTTAAATTTCACATTAAATCAGTATAATGGAAAAGATGGATGAGAAGCATAGACAAAGTTTATTAATTAATTATAGTTGCAACCAAAGAACAATTTTTTTGTATTGTTATTGTTTTTGTTTTTTATATTTTTCTAAAAAAAGTTAATTACTTATCTGGTAATGTAATCTGAATACCCCCTCCCCCTTTACTGCAAGTATAACGGCTCTTCAATAACTTTCTTTTCCTCCTTAAATGTCTTTCAATACTTCCCACCAAATATCAATAGATTTGACAAAGAATTGGCAACTCCCCAATTAATTTATTGAAACTCTTTTTATTTTTATTTTATATATATATATATATATATACATGTATTGGATATTTCTCAATAAAGTTGTTTCTGCCATTTGTGTTTCCTTCTTTTTCCTTTGTAATTATTTCTCTTCTTGATCTAACGTATCAAAATATCTAGTCATTTATATTTCTAAGACTAGCATTTTAGAAATTTTATTTTAAAAACAATAGAAAAAATGACGATATTCTCCTGCTTTAGTGGCATACAAGCTCAATTGCTCACTTCCTTACTATTATTATCTACTGTTGTGGTTCAAACTACTAATGCTGCAGAAGGTTGTAAACCACAATCGTCTGGTACTCTAGGTTTCGATATGTCTTTATATCATTATCCTTTCGATGAATCTAGTCCAAGTTCCTGTTACTCCAATTACTATCAAACAGATGAATTTCAACATGGTGGTTATGAATCTTTTGGTGGTGGTCTTTTCGGTACTGCAACCGATATCGAGGATGTTACGTTAAATCTAAGATTGAATGCCCATTGCAGAGAAATTATGGGTACCTTACCTGATAACTTCCACTATGCTGACACAATGAGTGTCTCCAACTTTACTATGCTACTTACTGGTTATTTCTTAGCTGATGACTCAGGTCAATATACCTTTACTGTTGTTGCCGATGACTTGGCCTATCTGTCCTTTGGTGCTGGTAATGCATTTGAATGTTGCGATGAAGAAGGTACTGTTAGTGATCCAGAAGCATTCGATTTGATTGTCACATGGAAATCTGATAATGATATGTCAGGGTCTGTTAGTTACAATCTAGAAGCTGGTGTTTTTTATCCGATCCGTCTATTATATGCTAACAGAGATTATCACGGTACTTTAGAACTGTCCTACGAAGATCCAAATGGTGGTGTACACACCGACTTTACTGAACATATTTACCAATTCCCTGATGAACCTGAAGGTTGTCCAAATAACATCCATACTTCAACCACTTATTGGACAGGTAGTTACACTAGTACATTCACCACTTCTGTATACACCACTACTGGTACTGATGGTCATGCTACTACTGAAACTGTTTACATCGTTGAAACCCCAGATGATCGTACTTACATCTCCACCGCTACTACAGAGTATACACAGGGTACTGCAGATGTTACTACTACTTACTCCACTGCCACTGGTGTTGTTACTGGTACTGATGGTATAATTACCACTGAAACTACTTTCTTTGTTGAAACTCCAACAAGTAGATCTAAAACTGCTACTGCTACTACAGAGTATACACAGGGTACTGCTGACGTAACAACCACTTATTCTACCGCAACTGGTGTCACTACTGGTACCGATGGTGTTATTACCACCGAAACCACTTTCTTTGTTGAAACTCCAACAAGTAGATCTGAAACTGCTACTGCTACTACAGAGTATACACAGGGTACTGCTGACGTAACAACCACTTACTCCACTGCTACTGGTGTTGTTACTGGTACCGATGGTGTCATTACCACAGAAACTACATTCTTTGTCGAGACTCCAACAAGTAGATCTAAGACTGCAACTGCAACAACCGTTTTTACTGAAGGTACAGCTGATGTAACCACCACATATTCTACTGGCACGGGTGTCTATACAGGTAGTGATGGTGTTGTCACTACCAGAACAACCTTTTACGTCGAGGAACCACGCCCAGAAACCACCATTACTACTGTCCACACTACTACCATTTACACTAGTGTTACTGTTCCAACAACAGTTACCCATGTTACTACATATACCACTACAGATGGTGATGGTGATGAAGAAGAAATTGTCAGTACTGATATTGAAATCGAAATTCCAAGTATTGAAGAATCTACTACTGTTGTAAAGACTACTACTATTTACACTAGTGTTACTGCCCCAACTACTGTGACACATGTTACTACTTACTACACTACAGATAGTGATGGTGAAGAAGAAGAAGTAGTTAGCACTGATGTTGAAATCGAAATTCCAAGTATTGATGAAACTGTCACTACCGCAAGTACAGTTTATACTCCTGGTCAAGTAACTGTAACAACAACCATTAGAACCATTGTCACTACATATTTGACCACCGATTCTGATGGTAATGAAGATGAGATAGTCGAAACCGATTATGTTGTTGAAATCCCAGACGTTTCAAAGACAATTGAAACTGTTACAACCGAATCTACTGATTATCCAGGGTCTGTTACTACTACTCTCACCCATGTTACAACATATTTCACGACCGATGCTGATGGTAACGAAGAAGAAGTTATCAAGACAGATATTATAATTGAGACACCAAGAAACCCTAACACTGTTGTTGAAGTAACCTGTACTCCTTCTACCATATTCACTTATTGTACTTGTTCTGAAACATCTACTTATTCTACAAATATTAAAACCTTCACTACCACAGACGTTAATGGTAACCCAGGGGAAGTAACCAAAACTGACTATTATGTCGCAATTCCAAAACCAACTACCGATGCTTATGAACATCCTTTAGAGGAATCTGCCGCCGTTACAACCATTAGCGAGAGTGCAACAAATAAACCTGCTGTTACCGAGACCTCCCAAAATATACCAGCAATTACTGAATATTCATCACAAACCTCTTCCTCTACCACAGCCAACATTACCGAATACAGTGGTGTTGGTGCTGTTGCCTCAAATAGCATATTAACATTTGTTATTGGTTTATTTTTTGCAAACCTTTTAATTTAAGTTCCTGAGGTGAATTAAATTCAATTATGATAAACTATTTTTCCTTATTCCTTTATCTTACTGAATATTTTCCATATTCATAATTTCGTTCTTTCATCAATTAATGATGGCACTTTATAAATTGTAATTTTCAAAATAATAATTCTAATAATATAATTATATTTACATTTCTCATTTAAAAAGTTTTTATGTAACGTGTAAATAAAGTTACAGATTGTTCTTCTTTTCTGTGGTCGGCTGAGCATATTATTCACCTGTTATACTTTCGAATTTGATATTTTTATCCTAAGATAAAACGGATAAGGGATTTATATTAAAATTTTGATAGGCGATATACTTTAAAAAGGAAGAAAGTCTACTCAAGAATAATTATTCGGGTATTCTAATCTTATCGTAGCAAGTAACGACATGTTTCTAAAATAACTCCTTTCTAACAATTTTTATTTAAAAATTTGCTCCTTAATTGATAAGAAAAGAATGAGCTCGAGTTTAAAATTATTAAGGTTTAAACACATTCACTCAATTGTTACCTCTCACAAAATTCTTAAATTTTGTTGCAGTTGTCGACAAAGACAATCATTTTTCTGATAGTATTGCCAAGTGAGACCAAGACTTCATTGATTTTTTTGGGGTTTCTGGCTGTTACCATCACTTTATCACTGAAGTTTTTGAAGACAAACATTCTTATCGATCATCCACTGCCATTGAAGCTGTCTGGCATTCCATGAAACGTATCGCTATGGCAATTTGGGAAACAAGTGATTACAAATAAACATGTTCCTTATCGCTTGGTCTCGAGCAACAACAACGACAAAAAAAGAATAATTTCCAAATACGGATGCCTGTTTCTATATTTGGCAATTATGTCTCTTGTTGAAATTATTGCAGCAGTTATTAAGAAGGAGGCTGCCGAGATCTGCACCGACGCACAAAAAAATATTGAACTCGTTAGCTCTTCTTGAGAATGGTTGCCCCTTTCTGTCATTTTAAAAACCGCTGTGATAGTTTCTAGCACGCATGAACGCATTTTGTTCTACTTCAACCTTCTAATGGCGGAGTACAGCTCGCAACTGTGATCTGTAGTATCGTTTCAGATCCACGACTGAAATTTTGAAGTAGAGTGGCAATCCCTGACTCTCAATTATATCATTATTTTCTCGATATGCAACAACTGTGCATTGCTACTAACTTTTTATATGTAATATATACAAGGTTCATTTCCTGCATGCTTCTGAAATCCTTTATTTTGATATTATTATCCATGTTTACCTCACGAGCTGTAGTGATATATATCTGTGGATATTAATAAGTCCTAAATAAAAGTAAATAAAATTAAATAGAATTGATGAAAATGGCAGGATTACAGAATAATCATGCTACGTTCACTAAATTAGCTAAATACTCCCTTATTCTCAAACTGTTATTTACCATAGTGGTCAGTTTAGAAAACATATTGACAGAAGAACCGTTACATGTAAATGAAAACTTGCCAAACTCGTTTGAACAAAAGGCTTCAGACGATGAATTTCTTTTGTGTACCTTTCTAGTCTTAAGTATTATTGAATGCCCCAAAGTTAAACAGCCCACGTTGGAGGAGAGAGCACAACAACTCTGGTCAAACGTGAGGGTAAATAGTACAATATATGGGATAATGCCTTTGGTAGCAGTCGGAGATTTGTTCTGTTTTGGTTTCTATTCTTTAAATGTTGTGTTGTACCTGTAAGAACTGGGGAAATGCATTTCTACAGTATTATTTGCATAGTAACATCTTTCCCTCCCACTCTATTTACTGCAATTGCGACTTATAGATGGTTTGTGGTAGTGAAAACGACCATTTTCATCCTGCAAATATTACATGGAATAAGAAGCTATATATTGCGATGAAGAAAGAATGCCAAAGATATAGGAACACAAAACAATAACCAAAATTCTTAAATGTAAAGTGAATAATAGAACGCTTAAAATAAATAGTGAAATTCGTATCAAATTTTGTGTTAATACTAGGCTGTCCCTTCTCTATAGTTATTACATGCATAGCAAAATGAGCCGCTCCCATCAGTATGAAATACCAGACCTCCATGTTTATATTCTCAATCAGTAATTTCGTATGAGGAGATAGATAGATAGATATATATTATGGTGGTTTTCACTCTGCCGTTCTCCCAATCAGTTGAAGAGTCACCAGAATCATTAGGTAACATATATGACAACTTGATTCGTAAGAAATACTTAACCTTGATACATTTTATTCGCCTGTATTTGTATTCCTCTGTATGAAAGTAGTTGTGTGGAGGTTGAGAAATTTCCTTGTAGACCAATATATTTGCAAGGATAAAATCGTTACATATATAATAACGTTAATTTTTAATTAAACATCATAATATTATTTACGCAGGTATGTATATAAATTGATAACACACGTTTGATCCTGGCATCACACGTAATTGTGCGTATCCTTGCTTTATATGTGTTAAAAAAATGACAAAGCTATTTGCTTCTTAACAGCCATGGATAATGAATTTTAAACTTCAGACATCTTATAGTTTGAATTTGAATTATGCTCCCCTAAAGAGAGCTCAAAATTAACAGAAGAGATAGCAGCAATTGTCAAAGAAACATAGCAAGCAGCTGGCAAAGTGGAAACAGTGCACAATGCAACTGCAGTTCCAATCCAGTACTCGGAGTAAGGAATTTGAAATTTAAAGTAATTACCACTCCTTGTAATTAAACTCACATGATGAAAATAAATTACCGCCGCAGATAATGTAATTAATGTAGTGACAAAATATCGAAAAGAAAACATTGGTTGTCGATTTTTCACTTTCTTTTTATTGGTGAGTACTCTTCTTAGAATCAGGAGAAATATTTAAGAGATAGTGTTGCACATTCAATTATTTGTTCATATCTTTTCACTATTTATATATTAATTTTTTTCCTAGGAGAGGAATACGTAGAAAACTAGGAACTCGCCAACCACTGCACATCACTAATTCCAGTAGACTTGTAGGAATAAGACTTCGACCCCATTTCGCGGTGGGCCCCTGTCAAATTTTTAAATAAAAATGAGGCGAGGTTGAAGGTCTTCAGATCGAAATTGAGTCATCTAATATTCATGGGTATGTTACAAAACCTGTTGAAGAACTTGTCAAGTCATCTGAGTACATGGTTTAGTTATACAATTTGCATATTCTCTGTAACAAAAGTTCAAACTCCCTTCTTAAATATCAGGATAGAGACTTAATATCCCAATGATGTTATATCTTTATTTACTTGAGTAATTAATAGATGGCATTATGTATCTCATATTCAAGAACTTCAAAGCTCAGCCTTCAAAAAACCACACAACTTATCGTCCAATAGTTTTCAACCTGATCTGATTAATGATACCGTAAGCCTTTAGGTATATTATAATACACGATAACTTAGTATACAGCTCTTATAAAAGTAGATTGGCAATACTCTCACCCTTTGAGTGAACCGATTTTACTGCCCAAACAAAATACCTCGGATAAGGGTTGCTCTTCATATTCAGACATAAGCGCTCGGTCTAATCTTGAAGCTTTAGTACCGAGAACTTTAGAGAGGGCGAATACAGTTAGGTTCATCAGCCAGTGCCTGTCACTCCCACATATTATTCTCAATTTTAAAAACAATCTTTCTTCATTTACTGACGTGACCGCAAAGGAAAGAAAATCACCTTAATACAGGAATTGACACATGAGAAGTAAATAAAATTTCGTTTCTGTTGATTTCCCTCCTATATGATTGCAGAACATCTGAGTCTACCCAAATTTTAAGTAGCAAAATATAAGTAGCTTTTTTTGGTTCTTTCACCTGCAGCTATTCTAAAATTGGCGGGGCCAACTTACTACCCCTCTTTTGAATTCCCTCATGTCTCATCTTACTTTCAAGTAGACGATTACATTCTTATTTTGAATAAAAATAGAAGTCATCAAATTCCAAAAACGTCAGTTACCTTATTATCTTTCTTGAGCCACCGTCAAGAAATTGCCCTCACAAACGATATAACCGTCTATCTAGTTTACATCTGCCTCTGGACTAATATGGATGCCCTTCGTATTGCCTGTAACATTCTCTTTTTAAAGATACCGATCTTCATTATAATATCTTCCATTGTATTTGCAGGTTTATAACTTTCACCGAATTAAAAATCTTAGTTACAACATATCATCGTACAGGAATAAATCAAATAAACTTAAAGAAACAGTCAAATTTAATCTTTAGCTAATCCAAATATTTCTCGACATCAGAAATTGTCGGTGAGAAGTCAGTAGTGAAATCTCGGTTTTCTTTAAGTGTTTTATTTGTTTTTAGTATTTCATTCTATGCATGGATCAATGATAGCATATATGCTGAAGACAAATTTATATCCATTGATATGAAGTCCATTAGTACATCATATGATTTTAAGATACTAATCTGCAATCGAGTAATCTCTAAATCCTCGGTGTTCTGATCATCGCTTCATGGATTATTTGTTTCTCAAAAGTTTTCAAGTATTTAAATATATCTTCCTAAAGTTTAACAACTACATTTAAAATGAGCTATTTAATGTTCTATCTAACAGTAGAATACGCCGGAACACGCTTCAAAACGAGTTATCATAGAGCTTTGCAGCTAGTTTCATTAATTTGGACATGGCTTTGAGAGATTTGCCTACAAAGGGATCACTAAGCAGGTTAGCAATATTAGCCCCAGAGAGTATATCTTCATTCCCAGTGTAGTTTGTAGTATTTTTTTCTCATTCTTAACGAGTCCTTTGGTATCTACTGTCACAGATAGGTTATAGATAACTTTCTCAGACATAAGATTCGCAATATGAGCTAAGTAGCCAATATATCCAACATGCGTTCTATAACGAGGATCCTCATCTAACTTAAAAGTACGGTATATAATTCAGGAAGTCTTATCGGTGCATGTGTGAGCCCAAAGTGGCCGTGCATTCTATTTTTCATACATTACTATAAGATACTTTTCGTGTTCATCTCTTGTTTTACCATATAGTTTGAAGTAATTGCCCTATGAAGCATGCATTATTGTTGAATGTTGTTGATAAATTAAAGATGTTACATGAACGGCATGTAAGTTTAGCAGACTTCCCATAATCGACTTCCGCACTAATTTAAGAATTAACGTATCGCTTTAGTTTAACTAGAGGACCGAATAGTATAGAGTCTAGCTTTTTTGACATTGTTACAAACTGAAATAGTATGGAGAGTAGAAAGTAAATTATATTTTTCTAATATTTTCTAGATGTCCTTCATGATTATCTCTGATATTTTGATATTAACATTCGAAAACATCTTTCTATTTTCTCCTGGTGAAATGCCAGGACATATGCACCGGATTTCTCCCTTAATATACTGATCATCCCATACAGGAAAAGAGCAACCTGCTAGCACAAATGATACCATAAGTCGTTTCAAACTAGATAGTTGTCAAGTTTGTGTTAACCTCTTCCTGTTAAGCATATTAAAAATATCACCATTGTTGCTTTTTTCTGTATCATTCTCTTTGCAGGATTATGCATCTTGTAGATTTGACAATAAATTATTTAATGCAAACACAAGTATCTGGTCTTTTTAATACGATTATCGCACTTACTAGTACCTCGTTTTGTAGCAATCTCTTCGTTTAAAGCTGTTATAAGTTCATTACACACAGTTCTCAATAATCTGGCAGTATCTACTAGTTTTGTCTTTTTTGGGATTAACAACTAGCCGAGAGTAAAGGGTCCTACACATGTTTCTTGAGGTACTCATTTCCAGCTTTTCGAAACCAATGTCAGAAGTATATGACGCTAATATCTTGCTATTCTCGCTAGAACGGTTAGCGATATAGTACTAGGACTTACCCACCAATAATTGATCGATTAGTATAGATAGCAATCAATTGAGCTAAGCAATTCTGAGATAGGGCTAGAATAATTTGACAGTAATTCAAATGCGAATAGTATTTCCAAGTACACCCCTACGACTCGTAAGTAGATGCCATAAATAATACAAATAATGTTGAGAACAGTTAGCAAGATTAATTGTCGCGCTCAAGCGTAAAGATATAAGAAAGGGCTACGATAAATTCTCTGAATAAAGTCCTAACTTCGATGATTAACTGTTGCAGAAGGGGCAAATGTCATATTGAAGGTTTTCAAAATGCAGCTCCACTGTTGGATGTCTAGATTATTTAAACCACTCTTTTTTTATCTTATTATTCAGTTATTTTTATTCCTGAAAGGTTATGATCCTATATGCCGTCACTCTCTTCCAGCTCTAATTTACATAATAGTATACAATTAAATAATGGAAATTATTTATTTCATAATTGCAATATCATTCGATATAAATTGGATAAAAAATTTTCACTATCACGATTATGAACTCACCCATCGATGATATAGCAGAAATTGGTCTGACTGGAAAAGTTTCTCTTTTAGTAAAATGGTTGATCTGACAATGCACACCTCAAAACTAATTGGGCCTTGCCATAAGATCGATTAATCTAATCTTCGTCATTATCAACGATGCACATGTTCTATAGTGCAATCATATACTTCTGCTTCATTACAATTTCAGACGGTTCATATGAGGATACCAGATCTAGTTCTCTGGTGACAATAATTAATAATCGGTATTACCATTATAGGGCCACATTTTTAAGCTACATCATCGCGGACGAAGTCCATAACCTTGGGTGCCAGGACTTCAGAACCGGGGTCACTGCTGCCTTCCCGCTGTTGTTATCTGAAGCTGTAGGGAAAGACAGGTTTGGAATCCATTTGGGAGCCCTGAATATCAAGGTCCAGACCACTACGGAGGTCGAAGTCAACGACAAGGTCTACATCCACAACCTTGTCAAGGACATTCCACTGTTGAATGTCAAAAAGACGTTTCCGAAGGTTGATGACAGCAACCTCATTGATAAGGTTGTAAAATATGTCCAAAGATATTTGGCAATCTCGAAGGGTTCCAAAGTGCTTGTGGTCTGCACACCAAGGCGGATGTAGCTGCATTATCTGATGTTATATTTGGATCTAGTACTCCGTTATGGATCACTGGGGCTTGACGAAAGAAGAAAAAATAAAAACTACAAACGAGTTCATTTCCAGTGACGCGAACAGGGGGTACTTGTGGGTACAAATTTGGTGTCCGAAGGTATTGACATCGCTAGTCTGAAATTGGTGGTTTTGGTAAACCATATTCCTAGCGTGTCTGAATATGTCCAGATTGGAGGGAGACTGAGAAGGGGTGGTCTTTATTCAGCATTTTACTCATGGATTCAGCCTACCCAAAGTGATGTTGCCGGGATTGTTCCTTTCAGGAATGTAAATGAACAAATCAGAGTCTTTTATGGGTTAGAGGAAATTGGTAAGGAAAATATCAGTTCCGAAATAGAAACCACAGAAAGGAGACTGCATGATTTTACATTCCCAGACTTGTCTCGCATCCCAATACTCTCTAGATCACCCACAAATATCTCCCAAGGAATTGTGCGTTCACCTTCGATTGTGGCAGGAGACTCCGGGAAAGTGGTTAGTAGAACAGAAACCACACCAGAAGACATTAATACCTGGTCACCTTCCCCTGTTGTGCAGCCACCAAGAGGAGGAATCAGAGGATTACTGAATAACAGGGTGCACGCTAGAGTTTCACCTCAGTTGGATACCCCCAAACCTGCATCTCTATCGGGGAATGACCTCCCAGAAGAGTTCCAGGCCAGTTCCCCAGTTCATTCTACTTCAGCTTCACCTACCAACGCCTCTTCCAGTATGGGTTGCACTCGTAACCCATTTTCAACTGAGGGCCAATCATTGTTCGAGATACCGAATACTGCTGAACACACGGTTTCCTGCAGTCCAAGAACAAGTCAGTTGGAAAAACGTCCGTGAACAGACTTCCTCCCCTATGGCATTTAGGATTCACAAAGACAGAGAAAATAACAAAGAAATTCACTATTGTAGTGGCTTTCCTGATTGGCATATTTGTATTCTTTGAATATATTCCCATCCCATCTCCTGTGGAGAGATTAGAACGCGTATATAGTGTTTGTGGTACTGCATAAAATAGGTCGCCTTTGGCAAAGGATAGTAACAAATCATCCAGGAACACACTCTTTGGCATGGTTCGCAATTCAAAAAGAGCACCACAGGGTAGAGTATCAAGCATTTCTCCTCGAACACCAAGGAACAGCCTATTTGGTCATAAACATTCCACTCCCCAGAGGTATACCTCTCGTTTTGCTTCACCTGAGGTGACTGGGTCCACTGGTGTAGAAGGGGGAGCACCACCAGGGAGTGTGGAGGCCTCCACTGAACGCAGCTCAGGTTCCTTGCTTTCGATGTTAAGGTCAAAACAAAACAATGTGGGTATGAGTAAACGGACCCTAAGTAGTGGTAGTGCCTCTCAGTCCCCTGTTAAGTACAGCAGGGTTGGGCCTGTATCCTCCTTGTCGGATAAGCTGAGGGCAAAATTGGGGAAGAAAAGCTCTGTGTTCGACCTTTTGGATATAGACTCCAGCCTAAGAACATATATGTACTATGATGGGTTGGGTGAATCTGCTGTTGGTAGGAAGTGGTTCTCTTACGGTGGCAGTGGTTGTTCCAAATGCCTCATGATGCCCGAGTCGGCCTGTGTCTGTTACGACAATAGGTCGAACAATTTTCTCAAAAGAATCGCAAGGGAATGCCTTCTTACTTTGAATTTCAAATTATCTGAAGCGTCTTTTGCAACCATCATTCAAAATAGTGTAGAGTATCGCTGTTATACCGTGTTGTTTGATGTCTTTGAATATAGGGTACAATACAGAACACGGTTTTTGGAGAAAACGAGGCCCTATTTGAAATTCGTTAAGGGGTCTTTCTTACATCTCGATCGTTATCTAGATTTCCAGCACTACAAAGACATGATCAACAGCTACAATGAAATCTGGTCCTATATGACAAAGAACAAACTTGACATGTTGGCTTGTTCCTCTGACGCTAGTTCTAACCCCAAATTCGTAGAGCTGTGGGACCGACAACTAGAGTTCGACGGTATTAGAAAAGCCCTAGAAGTAGAAGGGTCGTCTCGATACGGAAGGCGTGGCTTTGGAAGAAACTACAATGGCCCTAGCGATTACATTATCCAGATTCTGAAGCACAACTTTAAGAGATATGGTAGTCTATCGTAGATATGTTTAAACCCAGATCTAATCATCCAGATCATGGTGTTTCTATTTGTATTAGGTAATGCGTTTTGTCGAAAGGCTTTAGTCGTCTACAGAACTAGGAAAGATGTTGAGCGTTTGCAGAGGTTGGCTTCGACTTGACCGAGTCCTTATAGGTTCACGGGGATTTAGAGAAAGCAAAAAAGATGCAAATTACAAATATGTTCATCAACGATTCCTCAAAAAGATTGCTCATTGGTACCAACCTTGTTTCGGAAGTTATCGACATTAAGGATCTGGGCTTTGTTCATCTGTTTGACTACGTCCCAAATCCCACTGAATATATTCAAATCGGTGGCCGTATGCGTGCTGGTGGTATTTATAAGTGCCTTCGGTCATGGACTCCACAAGATGACGATGACGGTATTCCGATGGTAGATCCTGAGGGTGATATCAACCCACAGATGGCCGATTTCTACGGCCTGTTCTATTCCTTTGCGGAATATATTTCACTTGAAAATAATCTGCTTTCTGATCTAGTAAATTTTCAAGATTCTACGATTGTCAATTTCCAAAACGATAACACTCTTCCACGGAGTGCCTCAGATGACCAACTTCCAGACTTAGACCTTTCTGAACTCTTTGGTGTATCTGCTTCTGTGACTTTTGAAGAACCTGTTTCTACGCTTGATATATTCAGCACTGGTACCTTGGAAGACACTACTGTTGAAACCACTGCCGCCGCCAATGAACCTGTATTTAATACAGATCCCAAAAATAGTGATGGGCCTCCAGTGAAAAAGCAAAAAATATCTGCGGCGGTATCTGGTCCTCTGACTAAAATCGAGGCAATAGAAGCCTTTATTAAGGCCAAGGGAGTATTCCCATTTTTAGGTGTTCCTTATGACAAGGTGAAATTTCTCTATTTCCATGGGATTAACCATTCCTACTTTGATTTCTTCTGGTGTCCAAAAATGGTGGTATATGATAAATGTCTATCACCCTATACTGGCAAATGTGTGTGCCCTGAGTCCCGCAATGCTGCCTCCCTGAATAGGATGGCTCTTGAGTGTCTTTTGGTTTTTCCGTTATTCAAATCTCCACAAGAGATTCGCAATATCGCCAAAGGTGGCGTGGTTGCTGGTGCGGTCTTAATTGTCCAACATGTTTCAAACGACAAGGATGCCTACACTGAAATGTTTGCTAACTATCACGGTCCATACATTGAATATCTCGATAAGCACTGTATAAACATCCCTCGTTTCCCGATAGTAAAAGCAGATTTAATCATGGCCAAGAATTATAATGCCATGTGGGACGAGATTGCTGCAAATCAGTAACGAATCTGAGTTAGAGTTTTAACTCTCAGTTGATTCTTTAATTTCTTGTTTGTTAGTTAAATGTAATTCGAACATTTTTTGATATGATAATTGATCAGTTATTTTAAATTATATAATCTTCAAATTACTTAATCATAAATATTTCTTATTTTACAATAATGGTTTTATATATACCTGATGAATCCTAATTCTCCATAAAGTAATAGCATAAGCGTATTAAGAGCAAAGAAATAATAAATGATACGACGAAGGTCAGTAATCAAAGATAATAAAATAGGCTTACC